TTTTCTTAGTTATTTCTTTCATTTTTTGTTTTTGTAAATATTTATTTGAAAAGCAATTTTCTGAAAAATGAGCAAAAAAAAAATCTTTTTTGAGAAGTTTTCATAAATTATTAGAGAAATATACCTCACGTCCATTTATGATATGTTTAGTGAATTTAATCGCTGTCGAATATTGTGAACCACCGTTTTGGTGTTCCGTATCATATTATGAGCTGTCAGAACGAGTTGGTGAAACATTTCATGCATCACAGCCATCTTTGATTGTTGACGGATATACGGCACCTTCTGATGCAGAACGTTTTTGCCTTGGTCAACTTTCTAATGTTAACCGTACTGCTAGCGTTATGGAAGCTCGAAAACATATTGGTAAAATTCATACCATTGTTTTATGTTTTAGAATGTATTTCATCTTTAAAAAAAAAAAACAAAAAATAGTAATAATGAACTGCTCTTTTATATTACGTCATCTCGTTTTTATATTTCTTGTATGAAATTAGAAAATTTGGTACTTTTTGAATAAACATTTCATAATGCATTTTGTGCTCTTTCACTTTATGTAAAAAATCGATGTAAAATTGAGTTTTTTTTTTTTTATTGCTGATTTGTTTTTCCTTGTAGTTATCGTAATTTTTACATGATTTAAGTATATATATGTATATAATTTTAATTAAGACAAGTGGCTTACGTATCTAATATGAGTTATTTTAGACAGCTCATATAATTTTACAACATTCTAATCTCTTAATTATTTCTTAATCAGTACATTTTTAATAGTTTTCTTTATGTTCAGGTCGTGGTGCACGTTTCTATTATATAGGTAGTGAGGTGTTTTGTGAGTGCTTAAGTGATTCGGCAATATTTGTACAAAGTCCAAATTGTAATCAGCGGCATGGTTGGCATCCGGCTACAGTTTGTAAAATTCCACCGAGTAAGTGGATTCTACTTTAATCAGAGATTCCCAAATTTTTATCCCGATCTTCTAAGATTTAAGATATCCTTAATCTTTTATCTTGTGATTATGAGAATCTAAAGTTTTAACCTCAGCTTTATTGAATTTTTCCAATACTGTTATTAGTTAGTTAAGTTAGAAGGGAAGGGAAAAATTAAATTTGGATTTTGTCGTAGTTTTTCACCATGTTTTTTTTCAGTGAACTATTCGCATATGTATAATATATGGCTTTTTTGTCATTTCAGATTGCAACTTAAAGATTTTTAACAATGCCGAATTTGCTGCACTGCTAGCTGCATCAGTTCCGCAAGGTTTTGAAGCTGTTTATGCTCTTACTCGAATGTGTACTATTCGAGTATCTTTCGTAAAAGGTTGGGGTGCAGAGTACCGTCGTCAAACGATCACCGCTACACCATGTTGGATCGAAGCATATCTTAATGGTCCATTACAATGGCTGGATAGTGTTTTGAAGCAGATGGGCAGTCCACCAAATCGGTGTACAAGCTTTACGTAGTTAATAGTTTTTACGTTTCAGATTTTTTATGTAAACAAGAGAATGAAGCGTTTCGCACTAAAGGAATTGCATAATCTTTTTATTTTTTGAATTTAGATTTGAAATTAGAATTTTCAAGGAAAAAAAAAAGCTATACGACGGTCTTTATAGTTTCAAATAATAAATTTCTTCAATTAATAAATTATGTACCTGACAAATATTGTTTAATATCTTGCTCTGTTTATATATTTTAATTAGCTTGAAAGAGTTGACAATTTCAACTGCTATATTTGTCCCTGTAATAAGAATTCTCGATCAGAACTGCACTGTTTCTGCTTTTTTTTTTTTTTTTTTTTAATTATCTCATCAGGATTTTTATATTCTATTCATTATTGTCACATTTTTGCTGCTTTTGATTCGCTTTGCTTTGCTGTGAAATGAAAAGTAAGATTGTACGTTATTTTATTTTAATATTATTTTTTTTTTCTTTTTTTGATAAAATCAACAATAAGTTATTGTACTTCTATTGAATATTGTCCACAATTGATGATTTTGTTATAGTCTAATCAGATCTGGTACTAAAATTTTTTTTTCAGTATTTTCATTTGATTTCTTTTGTATCTAATTTCTTTAAAATTTGGGGTAGAGCTAATCGTTCGATCCTAATTCTTTTGAGGTGAAAATAATTGTATAGTATCGCTTTATTCGCAAGTGTAAAAATGGTGTATATTTTATTATTTGTATATATTTATAGTTTTCTAAAGCATTGATGTTCGTCTATTCTCAATGAGAATAATGCCTATTGTGATACTTTTTCTTGTTATATTACTATTTCTGGTGTGTAATTTACCGGTTATTCTTATTTTAGTATGATTTTTCGTTAAAGTTTTACGTAATCTTTAGGCTGAAATTGCTGCTGAAATTTGCGAAGACTTCATAATAGATCATTTTCATGTAAGGATCCGATCAAAATTCTGATAATTTTTCAGTCTTATATATTGATCAATTTCCTCATTCTTTTCTATTTGCACAGCGGTTCTTCTGCTATCGCTTATTTACTCTTTCTGATTTCTAAATTGAATCTAATTCACTACCAAGTTACAATTTTTATCCAGATTTTAGCAAAAGATTCGAGTATTAACTCAGATATATTGCTTACTTCAAATATGTAAATGTTTTTGTTTTACCAGTGAAAGCATTATTCAAGACGATTTACATGTAGACAAAAATTTGTCATGCAAAGAAAAAAAATCTTTTTATTAATACTAGAGATTCTATTGGAATTTTTTGTTTTTTGACAAATTTTCGTTTTTATGGTCGTTTTTAATTCTTATATGCTTAATTTATTGCAGTAAAACTTACAATAAAATTTTTGGATTGCATAAAATATTATTTTTAGAAAGAAATCATGTTGATCATTTCAAACTTTCTTTTTTGCAACTCGTATGGCAGTGCAACAAAATAATTTTTTTTTTCGAAAACTGCAATGAATTGTGAAAGGTCATGCGTTACAAATATATGCCTAAGCTCATATTATATGTTGTAATATATATAAAAAAAAAAGAAATTTAACAATTCTGAATGTTTTCGGAGCATAGTTGCCATATGTTTTGGGTATAAAATGTTTTACTTCGGATCTAACAATTGCGATTTGCATCTGTTCCAGAAATGCACATTGCCGCATAGAATAAAAGTTAAAATTGAAGGGAAGAAGCATCGAGTTGTACTTTATAAGTTAAATACTTAACTGTCAAAAAGTGATAACAGTTTCGATAATTGGTTTAATAAAGTAGCAAAAAATGAATTGAGGAAATTGGAGCAAAAAGATAAGATGAAAAATGCAAAGCAAATTTTTTTGCATGGAAAAATTAGTTACTGATACATAAAAGTATTTTGATAATTATTTGTTTTGGACAGCATTCGTTTTAGCTTTGAGCATTTTCTGCATACATTTATGCTTCCTTTTAATTTAAACCTAATGAATTACTAAGTTGAGAAATTATGTTGTAATCGACTAATTTAATAATGTTTTATTTTTTTCTTTGTTCTTGAACTGAATCAAGAGTTGATACCTGGTCTTGTGGTTGGTCTAGGCTTATTGAATAGTGAGTGGAGAAAACTGAGGTTAGGTGTAGAATAAGCAAATAACTTAGAGACTAATACTGAGTAAATATTCAGCTTAGGAATTTGAAAAAAAAAAAAAGAAAATAGATCATTCTGAAATCTAGTGCAAGTCATTGAATCGTTGAATTCATTCCATAATTTTTGGAGTATATTTTTAAATTAATAGAGTTCATAGATTTAAGAAATTTTTGAGACTTTTGGAATTTTTAATTTCCCTGAACATTCGGTTTTTTTTTTAATTTATCAAATTTTTGAAACTTTTTTGATCTGTGAATTTTTTTCAGAATTTATTATTTTTGGTTTTTATTCATTTCAGTGTATGTGTTTCTCCAATTTTTTTAATCGAATGTTTTTGAATGCAATTTATCTAATAACAAACCATTGTTAATTGTGTTTCTGCATGCATTTTTCTATTTCCACTAACTGTCCTGTCTTCATGCACTTTTTTATGCATATTGGTTGTATATGTTTTTTATGGCTTCGTTACTTGCAGTTCTACTAGTTGCATGCTTTTTAGTGGATTTCTTACTGAATATTAATTACAATAATCACAATAATCAATTGAAATTATCTATTTTTTTTTTTGCCGTTTTCATTTTTTGCATACATTCTTGTATTTCCACTACTGCATGCTTTTTTTTTTCTGCATTTTATTAACTCTTTTGAATATTATTAACAGCATAATCTTCACTTATATGGTGGATTAGTTGTATTTTTCTATTTTATTAACTGCATACTTTTTTTTTTTAATTATCTTCACTTATATGGGGAATTAATTCTATTTTTATATTGTATTATCTGCATTTTACTAACTTTTTTGAATTGTATTAACAGCATGCTTTATTTTCCAAATTATCTTCACTTATATTTGGGATTAGTTGTATTTTTCTATTTTATTAACTGCATGTTTTTTTTTTTTTTTTTTTGCATGCCTTTTAACTTTGGTCATCATGTACTTATATTTGTTCTGCATGTTTTCTATGCATTCATCACTTGCATGTTTTTTTGTACCTTTACTACTTGTATGCTTATCTTAATCATTTTCTCTTCATTCCCTTTATAGATAAATTGTTTTTAATAAGATTTGAACTCTTTGTAATTTTTTTTTTTTAATTTTTCAATATCGGAAAATTGGAAAAAGTTTTTCACCTAAGCGAAAATTTGTCGCCTAATTGAGCAAATATTTTCAAGAGAAATTTTGTTTCTCATTTAGGTTTTCACAGATATTGAATGCATAAGTGAATGATAGTTTATTACGGTGAACAAATTTTTATTCATTATAAATCTAATATACTCTCAACCGTGATAAATATGATAAATTAGTGATAAACAGTAGTGAGAATAATAATAAAACATCAAAAATTCTAGCTTTAAAACAAGATTATCAACTGACCACAAAAATTTCTTCTTTGTTCAGCCAAAATAAATGAATAGTCACAGCGGATATCCTTCAAGGATGAGAAAAACTATCAATTTGGCCTAGAGAGCAATGAGCTATTATATTCTCAATTGATATTTTAAAAGCTTGCTGATGTATTACTGAAGCGCTACTGTCACCACTTTAAACACCTTTTCCAAATGATATGGTTACAGAAAATTGCATATTTTACTGGATGGATGGACATTTGTTGTTCTTTTGATTCTGATGATAAATGCTGATTTTGTCGTTTTCTGCATTATATGTGAAACAGTAACTTCCATATATAGAAAAGTAATGATGTTTGTCGCGAATTATAATAATAAAAGCTAATTAATCATTTTTAGTTTCATAATATCATAAACTAACTTCTTATAAAATTAGATTCTTAAGATTTAAAACTAATAAAAACAAATCAATCATTTTTGAACTGTAAACAATCTTGCAATATCATAACTTATCTCTCATTAAATCAAGCTTCTTATGATTTATTACTCATGAGATTTTAAAATTTATTGTAAACACTTCCAATTCTTAACGCGTATGATTTTATCTCAGACACGCCCAATCCTCACTTATATAAATTCAATTCTAATAAACAAAATTCTTCATTGTCATTATTGTCGAATACTACTCTGTTAACTAATACCAATTCATCCGGTCTTCTTTATTATAAATTTCTTCTCTCTTTTTATTGCTCGGTTTATTAATACTACATTTTCGAAAAATAAAGGTTTATTAATCTTTCTACTGTATTACAACTATTCGAATATCAACCAGACAAACCCTTTGCGACAAATTTATTGCTTCCTCTTCTTCTCTTCTTTTCATCGTGACGATTTGTTGAGTATATGTGAACCATTTATCATTGATAGATTCAAGCGTAGTTACGCATAATTGGATTCTTCGAAGTTTATCTTCTAACACTCTTTTTCTTATTACATAAAGATCTTTTTTTTCTTCTATTGTCATACTTAGTTCTGGAGATTTGATCTCCAGTTGATTTACTTCTTTAAGAAGATTGCCTAACCTTTCCTTTGCCGGTTGAAAGCTCGCAATAATGTGGCTTGATATATTCCGGCTCGTGGCACCATTAAATTTGTCGCAAAGGGTTTGTCTGGTTGATATTCGAATAGTTGTAATACAGTAGAAAGATCAATAAACCTTTATTTTTCGAAAACGTAGTATTAATAAACCGAGCAATAAAAAGAGAGAAGAAATTTATAATAAAGAAGACCGGATGAATTGGTATTAGTTAACAGAGTAGTATTCGACAATAATGACAATGAAGAATTTTGTTTATTAGAATTGAATTTATGTAAGTGAGGATTGGGCGTGTCTGAGATAAAATCATACGCGTTAAGAATTGGAAGTGTTTACAATAAATTTTACTTAAAATCTCATGAGTAATAAATCATAAGAAGCTTGGTTTAATGAGAGATAAGTTATGATATTGTAAGATTGTTTACAATTTAAAAATGATTGATATGTTTTTATTAGTTTTAAATCTTAAGAATCTAATTTTATACGAAGTTAGTTTATGATATTATGAAACTAAAAATGATTAATTAGTTTTTATTAAATTTTTTTTTATTATTTTAGATTTTTATTATTTTAGATAGAAATTTTTGCAAAATTATAATTCGCGACAAACATCATTACTTTTCTATATATGCCACGAGCCGGGATATATCAAGCCACATTATTGCGAGCTTTCAACCGGCAAAGGAAAGGTTAGGCAATCTTCTTAAAGAAGTAAATCAACTGGAGATCAAATCTCCAGAACTAAGTATGACAATAGAAGAAAAAAAAGATCTTTATGTAATAAGAAAAAGAGTGTTAGAAGATAAACTTCGAAGAATCCAATTATGCGTAACTACGCTTGAATCTATCAATGATAAATGGTTCACATATACTTAACAAATCGTCACGATGAAAAGAAGAGAAGAAGAGGAAGCAATAAATTTGTCGCAGAGGGTTTGTCTGGTTGATATTCGAATAGTTGTAATACAGTAGAAAGATTAATAAACCTTTATTTTTCGAAAATGTAGTATTAATAAACCGAGCAATAAAAAGAGAGAAGAAATTTATAATAAAGAAGACCGGATGAATTGGTATTAGTTAACAGAGTAGTATTCGACAATAATGACAATGAAGAATTTTGTTTATTAGAATTGAATTTATATAAGTGAGGATTGGGCGTGTCTGAGATAAAATCATATGCGTTAAGAATTGGAAGTGTTTACAATAAATTTTATTTAAAATCTCATGAGTAATAAATCTTAAGAATTGGAAGTGTTTACAATAAATTTTACTTAAAATCTCATGAGTAATAAATCATAAGAAGCTTAATTTAATGAGAGATAAGTTATAATATTGCAAGATTGTTTACTATTTAAAAATGATTGATTTGTTTTTATTGTCGTGAAAGGTTGTCTGTTGGTTGATATCCGAATTGTTGCAATACAGTAGGAAGATTAATAAACCTTTATTTTTTGAAAATGTAATATGAATAAAACCGAGGAATAAAAAAGAGAGGAAATTTATAATAAAAGAGAAGACCGGAGGAATTGATATTGGTTAACAGATTAGTAGTCGACAAAGATGATCTGCTGTTAGAATTGAATTTATATGAGTGAGGATTGGGCGTGTCTAGGGTAAAAATCATATGTGTAAAGAATTGAAAGTGTTTACAACGAAAAGATTAAAATGAAAGCTAATTTAATTTTACAAAAAAAAGTATATGTGTAAAGAATTATTGAAAGTGTTTACAACGAAAAGATTAAAATGAAAGCTAATTTTAATTTTACAAAAAAAGTATATGTGTAAAGAATTGAAAATGTTTACAACGAAAAGAAGAGATGATTTATGATAGTATGAAATTAGTTAGAAGTTTTCGCGAAATTATAATTCGCGACATTTATTGGTTTTAAATCTTAAGAATCTAATTTTATAAGAAGTTAGTTTATGATGTTCATTAAATTTTTTTTTTATTATTTTAGACAGATGTTTTCGCGAAATTATAATTCGCGACAATTTTTGAGATCCTAAATCTTTGATGTTTCTCCACATTCACTTTTCAACGGTTCACTTACAAAATTTTTTAGTGTCAGATATCCTAGAAAGTTTTTTCACTTAAACGGAATATCTGCCATTTATTCTGCATTAAGGTTTAGATTAAATTACAGATGCTGGTTTATTTCTTTTCTTATAATGCTATTTTTTGGTTAAAACCACTTTGCCTAATTTTGTTATAAATTATTAAATGAATACTTTCCTTTCACTTGTGATGCTTTTTTACGTTACCTTTTTGCACAACAAATTGTGTATTTCAGTTGTGAACGCATTTTGTATACTCGAATGCTTGCCTTCGAATTTTAAGTTTCATAGTCAACTGATCCGTTTATTGCATTTATATGAAATTATAGGAAATAAAGAACATAAAGATAAAACAGGAAAAATTTTAATGATAAAATGAAATTATAAAATAGTCGCTTCATTCTGATACCTTGAAAATGCTCGATTGCTATGCGCCTTCCCTCTCTCATTTTTGAGAAGAATGTCCAGATTGTGCCTTGCTTTCTGGAATGAAATTTTTTAGTCGTTTTATAGCGCGAAAAGAAATGATCAGAAGTTCGTCGCAATTGGCTTTGCGGATGGAATGATATGCTTTTCTGCACGAATTAAAAAAACAAAGCAGCACTGTCAACATCTTTTTAAGCAGTTAGTTCTTACGCCAGCTGCTGCGCATTGAGTGCACGATATGAAATATGTCACATTTAATGAGTGCGTTAAATGAATTTTGTATGACTTAGTGGTCACAAAAGTGTTTCATAATACATATCACACCCACTTTATTTCAAGCTGACATAAATTTTATTAACTTGGCAAAACTAACGAGGAGCTCTGGAGCATAACTTCTTGTGAGATTTCAGTGTGGTCACAGAGGAAAAGAGTTTGCCACAGTACGCACACTGAAGATGAGTTTGATGCGTTTGTTTATGAGCACAAAATGATGGTATATAATCGAATGTCTGTCCACAACCGGGCACTTTGCATTCATAGATGAAGGGTTGACCGTGTGTTTTTCTGTGTGCTAAATATTCGTTATAACCTTTCGCGATTACAGCACATCCGGGATAATGACATTCGTAGCTTTGTTCGCCTAAAAAATTATTTGTGTTTGCAATTGGTATTCTGTTGTGGTGTTTGGCAGTAATTAATTAATCTGATAAACCATGAAAATATCACTGCTATGAAATAATCTTACCACATTTACATTTCAAATAATTTAGATCACAAGAAGTTGCTTATTTTCGAGTATAGTTGCAACAAAAAGTGCAATTGAGAATTTTTCATTGTATTGTCACTCAGTATAATTTCATTTCACAGGTACCATTTCAAGCTGACATATCTGTTTAAAATTCCGCTAAATTTGCAAACTAACGAAGTGTTGTTGGGCAGAGCTTCTTATGACAATTCAGTAGCTTCCTGGTGGCGAAGAATTTGCCACAGCACTCGCATGAGGGATGAGGTTCATGAGTTCGCTTGTGACTGTAAAGTGATGCTACAATATCGTATGTCCGCCCACAACCGGGCACTTTGCATTCATAGATGAATGGTTGACCGTGTGTTTTCCCATGTGCTCTATATTCGTTGAGACTTTTCGTGGTCATAGTACACCCGGGATAAAGGCATTCAAAGCTTCGTTTGTCTGAAAAACTCTTATAATATTGATCTTATCAATTATTAATCTATGTGAGAAATAATCATAAAAATGCATAAAATAATCTTAACACATCTCATTTCAAATTGCTTAGACCACAAGAATCTGTTTAAATATCTTTTCATATGTTTAAAGCAAAACTTTTAATATTGTTTGTGATGTTATTTCTAATGGAAGGACCTCACACAACAGATGGCTGTTATTTTTCTGTTATAGCTAAATGAATTTCAGTTTCAATTTTCTTCACTGTTTATACTCCTAACTTCATGTAATCGAGTAATGACAAATAATTTGATAAATCTTCGAGATATTAGAGCATCAGTTGCTATTATTTGCTAATGCCTGCCATTTGTCTTTTGTCGTACGCAAAACAAACTGAGGTTAGAAAAATGTCGCAGTATTTTCTGAATTACACCATGTCACCGATGTATCGAAATGAACGTTTTAAAAAAATTTTTTCAAAAGAAGTTTTTTTTTTTTTTGATTTTTAAAAGTTAAATTTATAAAACTAACGATGTGCGCCGTAGTACTTGTTATGATTTTGCAGTACATTCTTCTTGCTAAAGAGTTTGTCTCTATTTCCGTATTGTTTAGGTTGATGCGTTTGCTTGTGACTGACAAACGATGATTTATGGTCGAATGTTCGGCCACAACCGGGCTCTTTACATTCATAGATGAATGGTTGACTGTGTGTTTTCTTATGTATTAGATATTCGTTGTAATTTTTCGTGATCATAGCACACCCGCGATAATGACAACTATAATTTCTCTTATCTGAAAAATTCGTATTAAGACATTTATTTTTGCCTCTGAAAAATGAAATGAGTTTTGGTTTCTGATTTGTTATTAATTCTATCTTCAGTTTCACGTTGTTGATAAAGTAAAGAACTATAAAAGGTAGAGCAAAAAGTCGTTATACAATTTATCATCACCTGCTTCTGATCTTCCATCAGTATTTCCCCTGTGGTCTAAGATATTTAAAACATCCGAGAAGTGTTTGTTGTCAATGTTGCTCTGTTCAGAATTTTCATGTTGATTGGATGTGTCGTCCGAGGGACCAATAAGTTGTTGAAAATAGATCGGAATAGCATTTTGCTGTGAATCAGGAAAGTGCATATATGTGACAATGTCATCGCTGTTGAGATTAAGCGGCGAAAAAGTTTTACTTTGAGCATCTGAATAACTTAGATTACAAGAGGTTGTTTATGTTACCTTTGAAAAGATTTCGATAGATAATTGTAGATTTTTCGTTTTAGTTAAGTAGTTTTACTTCAATATCTATAATTTTATGGATTAGATGAAAGTAAAGAACTATAAAAGATAGAACAAAAAGTCGTTATACAATTTATCATCACCTGTTTTTGATTCACCATCAGTATTTCCCCTGTGGTCTAGGATGTTATCGATGTTGCTCTGTTCAGCAGCTCCATGTTGACCGGATGTGTCGTCCGAGGAAAGAGTAAGTTGTTGAAAATAGATCGGAATAGCATTTTGCTGTGAATCAGGAAAGTGCATATATGTGACAATGTCATCGCTGTTGAGATTAAGCGGCGAAAAAGTTTTATTTTCAGCATCTAAATAACTTAGATTACAAGAAGCTGTTTATTAGTCTTTCGCATATTTGAAGCAAAAATCTCACCTCTAATAGAAAGATGTGGCACTTTATCATCATTCGTTTTTATTTCTCCATTACCCTCTCTCCACACATTCCTGTATGAATCCATATCTGAGCCAAGTGATGACTCCAAATTAGTGTGGCCGATGAAATCATAGCTATGTGAAAAGCCAGGATAAGAAGTATCTGTAATCTGATCAGCTTCGCGTTTTGATTCTTTACTGCTTATATCCTCAATTTCACTCAACTGAGCGAAATCAATGAACTGCGAAGGATCAGACGGAAATTCTGAGCCAAACAATGGCTCAAAATTGTTGTAATCAAGGGTATCAAAATTGTCTGAGATGCCAGAATAAGTATTATTTGTGAAGATTTCATCACCGGTGTCGAGATTAAGTAGATGGAAAGTATCATTTTTATCAGAAGCGATGCAATGTAGAAGATTGAGCCAAATAATGGCTATCATAGATACGGTGAAGAACATGGTGGAACACAACTTTGTAAAATGACAGAAATGTTCAAATGGAGGCTTTTTATTTCGGATTGTTGGAATTAAAAACCATAGGTTTAAACAGTTTTTAATCTGTCCATTGTTTGTCATATTTTTTCCCCTACATTTTCTCTTTCCTCACTTCCAACTGGGTAGTTTATAAATATTCTTTTGAACCCCGAAGTAAGCGCCACAGTAGCGTGTTCTGTCATTTCAGTAATAATAATTAATTTATAAACCAAATAACATCATGAAAAATGAGATTCTGATTCCAATTTGGTACATTTAATAAAGTGATATGTTACATGCCTACTGATAATATTGCTAATTGAACTTCTTCATATTAACGCATCACTTGAAATTTGATAATTATTACTTTTGACATACATCCATAGCTATCGCTGCTATTATGAAAAAGATCAACATAAGCTGAAACGATGTTTGATGTTTGAAAGGATGGGACAAATTTTAATAGTTGAAACAATAGAGTAATATTTGCATAAAGGAAGCTGGTGAATAGTGAAATTAAATGTCACTGCATAATGAAGTATTTAATCTGTAAGTAGCAAATAATCCTGTCTGCTTTATTTAATAAAATATTGGTATGGTGAGTGGTAAATAATATATTCAATGAATTATTTGCATATTGTAAAAATTTTAGATTTTAAATTTTGGTGACATTAATTAATTGACAACTGGAAATATATTGGTTTACTTCCGATGTCTATTCTCAGGTCTGCTTAACACCTTAATGACATTTCAGTTCATTATATCCAATTCCACGTATCTTATTTTCTTTTGCTGTCCTAAATTAATTTCTTTTTTTAATAATTAATTTAATAATATTAATAATAAATGCATATAACTTGTTTTGTAACAAATAATTTCGTCGAATGACCACGACAGAATGTGAGCAGATCATGTGCAATGCAAATGAAATTGTTGATTTACTTCGATAAATATATTTTTTTGGCAGATACAATTTTTATAATCTTTTGTATCGTACAATATGTCGAGCACTGCCTTTCTTTCAATTCTGTATCTCCTAGATATGTTGGAATAACTATTCATTTTGTTTTCAACAAGTGAACAGTTAGTGCTCAGTTATTGTTTCATTTTATTAAAACTGCAGTTACGATAACATTAAGGCATTTCTGAGAAACTCAAAGAGTATTCCGAGAGTGGAGAAAACGTGACAATTGATGCATACCATTTGAGAGACAAATTGGTTTCCTCTCTTATAAGTGGTTCCCTCTCTTAGATATTGGTTTCCTCTCTTATAAGTCGGGTAATCACTTTCTTTGGTGAAGTGTCAACACCGCCTTCCCTTTTTCTTCCATGTCTTTTGTTACAGTAATTATTCACTTTATTTTCAGCAAGCAAATTGGATGGAGCGCATTTATCCTTTTGGAGAGTATGAGTAGAACGTGACACTTAATAATACTCGAAGTGCTAGTCGAACTGTTTGAGATGAACAATACGGTACAATAAGCTGAATTAAGGTGATGCTGCCAATGCTGTTATTGAAATTTGTCAATTTAAAAAAAATATCGTTCACGTTGAACGCTATTTTAAAGAGATTTTGATTGATTTTAGCAGAAAAAGTGGTAAAAAAATGATAAAAATTTTCCAAAGTTCAAAATCAGAAGTTAAGGAAATAACTGAGATTCTATCAGAGTCACTTTTCATGTGATTAATTAATGAAATGCTTGGAAAGTGTGCATACAGCAGATGGCTAATCTGTATGCTATTGCCTATACTAACCTTTGAATTGAACTTGAATTTCAAAGGTATTAGTCTTTCCATGATAATTAAAAGAAATTGGACCTTGAAATTGCATGAAGTTCAGGAATAAAAAAGTAGGAGATAGGAAATTATTGAAAATTTTTCATCCTTTTTATACAAAATAATTTCGTGACTATTTTACAATTCTATTTGCTGTTTTTAGCAATTTTTCCAACAAATAAAAAGAGAAAACGAATGTGTTGAATGAATGTAAGAGTTAAACTCAGAATTCTGAAATATTATTTTTAAAAATAAACACCTACAATATAGGCTTAGTATGAAATTGCTTCATCCGTACCAGGAATTTTGTTTATTGGGTTTGTCAATTGATATCAGAAATTGATATCCGTAGCGTTTCATATCTGAAAATTTGAATTCCAAATTTAACAATTAATAATATTTATGCATTTTGGAAATTATGATTTCCATCACTAGCTATCAACACGCTAAAATGATGAACATTATAACACTTCGCATTATTAAAATGTGAAATTAAAAATTTGAAAAATACTTCTTTCTGTTATGATAAATTATATATTACTATGCTTTCTGTGAAAGAAATCATTTACGCCGTATATGACTAATTTTAGAATCGATTTAATAATCTTATTGGACGCTACTATTTTACAATACATTCTTTATTTAATCTAAGGGATTTTACACAGAAGACTGAAATTAAAGAAAATATTAGCAAAAATGTCAACGTCAAGTATAAATGCTTTAATGATGAAACATTGACATGAAATTTATTTAATAACATTTCTAAATTAAAAAATAGTTTAAATTTTGCAATCAAAATCACTTTGACAACTTAAATGATAAATTTTATAGAGCAATAATTTCGAAATGATAATGAAACTGCAAAAATTAAAGTCATATTAATTAAATGATTTTAGTCATTTCCAATTCTTCATTTAAGAAATAAAACTTATTGTAATATTTCAAATAAATTGAAAATACATAAGTCATGTCAATTGTTGATTATTTCATCCGTTCACCACATTAAAATTAATATTTTTGATAATTCGTTATGATTACTATCAAAATTACGTTGCTGAAAAATAAAAAATACTTTATGCTTTTTAAAATTTAAACATGATCATTTTATCAATTTGAAAAAATTTTATCTTGAAAAAAATTTGTCATTTTGATTAACAAAAAGTTTTTATTGCATTTCATTTGGCATGATTCTCCTTTTTCAACAACATAATTTTGATACTTTTTTTTTTTGAAAAGTTGATAACATTTCCACCGTGAAACGCAATCAAATTGATAACATTTTAAAATAAATGCTAATTGCTGCCGTTTTGAATGTGATTTGACATTGAAATTAATTTCACTTGTTAATTTAATAATGGATTATTATAAAAATTATGTTGTTGGCATCATTTCTTGTAATTAAAATTTAATTATATTTAAGCGCTAATAGGGCTAACATACAATGTCATATGGTTAAATTATAGCTATCAATTGATACATGAAACTGATCTTAGAAAATATTACTTTTTTTCGAATTACTTGGAAATACTGTTGCATTTTATTTCTATTAAAAGATTTAACAAATGCAAATTAATTTTATGCCAGTAGAAAACAAAACATAAAAGCTTAAAAAAATAAAAAATTTGTTGCAAAATCTAAAGCAATTATGACTAATTCTTATATAAACAGAAATGAATTTATTCGAGCTTTTTTTGCATATTCATTCTTATTAGTAAAATTTTCAACCTTACATCTTTTTTTTACAACTTTTTGTATTTAGCAGAAAAAAACGAAGAATATTGCAGTTTCATTTTTTTTTTTCTGCATAAAAATATTAAAATATTCATTTTTTTTTCTTTTTATTTTGTGAAATCTATTTGTAATAACTTTTTCATTATTTCCATAAAATATTAGGAAATAAACAAGAAAAAAAGAAAACCAATCAGTTCATTGAATAAATGTTATTAAATTTAAATTTAATCAAAAATAATTTTAAACGATCTAAATATATAACAATGCTAGTGTATAATTGCCGATTGATAATAATAATAAGTAGAAACTAGTTTCCAAGGTATTAATTCAAATCATTTATTCGCATTAATTAATCATTCTAACATTACGATTGATTTTATACACTTACCGTTTTATTTCTTTATAAACATTTTTGCTTTCTTTCCATTTCATTACCGATTTTGGATTTTTCACTTCCTCTTCCTCCTCTCTCTCTCTCCTCCTTCTGCAATTTTTACATGTTTCCTTGGTTTTTCCTGCTTTTTTAAAGAATTCATTCTTACTCTAACTAAATTACACTTTATAAATGAATGAGAATCACAGCATACACAAAACTATAGTATAATTTTTTTTAAGGATACCTGTTTCTCTTTCATCTCACTAATTTTTCCTTTTTTTTAAAAACAAAAAACATGCAATTAATTAATTAATGTGTAGTTGACTTTTATCAGTAAACATGTTAGTTTTTTTTTTTTTATAAATATTAAACTTTTTCCTCTTTCATTTCTCACGCTTTTCCTTTTCCGTTCCTCTTTCTCTCCCCTTTTTCTCCTTTTTATTACAATTATCTCAATTTATTTGCATCAAATTTTTTCTAATTAATTTCTAATTAATCCTTTTTTTTTTGTTCTATATTAACAATTAAAGTTTTATTCTCTTTTCTCGCAAATCTTAAGTTGCAACAATATTTTTTCATTTACTTTCGACTCCTTTTTTTAATTAACGCAGCTATTAGAAAAGCAAAAAATGTTAAGTAAAAACAAAAAAAAAAAAACAAAAAACAAAAAACGAAAAAAAAAGAATCAGATTGAAAAAATTTGCTGTTGTATAGAAAAATTTTCAAATAAGAATTCATTTTGTTATCAATATTAAATTCTCTATATTAAAGATCTATAAATTTCAAACATAAACATTTTTTGGTAAATGAACAATTTTAAAACAAAATCTTCCTTTCAACTATTTAATTATCTTGATTATCATAATTCTAATCAGTAAAGACATAGTTTAACAAAAAAATAACAATTAAAATAATTAATATGGGAAATTTTGCAAGTGATAGTCATCAATTAATATTTTAAAAACCTTGAAGTTTGTTACGGTTACATGCTTATGTTTTAGGTAAGTATTTCTTTAACGGTTGAAATTTCTTACCTGTATTTTACTTTCTTCCATTTATTTCCAATTTATTTCATTCATGATCAGTCAATTAATCAATTTCG